TTTGGAAAAATGTTATCCTCATTTGGTTTTTTTAAATTTATTTTAAAAATTTTTTCTTTTTTTAAGCTAAAAAATTCTCGCGGACTTGGAACTCTTTGTTCATTTGATATGCCTAATCCAACAATTCGAGACAAATTTCTCAACACTGCAATTAATCTGGGATTGCATATTGGGGGATGTGGTGATTCGACAATAAGGTTGAAGGATTTTTTTGTTATTTTAAATATTTTCTCATTATGTCCAAAACTCGAAATCCACAAGTCTCGAAATGTTTAATTGTGAGTTTGGGTCATGGCTGGGCGCAATTGCGGATTGCGTTTGCGGATTTTAAGATTAAAATTGCGGCTGCGGAAATTTTTTCCAATTGCGCCCAGCCCTGGGTTGGGTAGAGGGTCCAAAGCTCATACTATCCGAAAAAATTTCTCTAATGTAAAAAAGACTTCTCATAATGTCCAAGACTCGAAATGAAAAAAAAAATGTCATTATCTTTTTTTTAATTTTTTATCCTCCTTTAGATTCCGTCCCGCTTTAATTTTCGAAGGGAAACATTTGGATACGACTATAAATCTTTTGGAATCGGCATTTGAAAAAATGAAAACTTTCGACATTGACTTTACAGATGATTTTTAAAATTTAAAAAATTAAAGTTTTTTTTTAATTTATTAGATAGAAATTGCCATTTTTATAATTTAAATAAATATAATACATGTATTTTATAAAATAAATATTTTTTTAAATTAAAAAAATTTATTGAAGATTTTTAATGTTTTTATACATAACTTTTTTATTTTTATTAAATTCCACCTGCCCTGAGGTGGATATTAAAATTATTTTTTGGTTCAGGTTTAGTTTAGTAGTCCAAAGAAGGCTTATTAGTCTAGTCAAAGTTTATGGGACCAATAAAGGTTTAAGGGTCTGAAAAAAATTTTTTATTAAATAAAAAAGCCTTTATTAGACTCATAAACAAATGGATCAATGAAAAATTTTTTTATTGGACTAGTAAACTAGACTAGAGAAAAAATATTTTTTTATTCTTTTTTAGAGCCTTTTAACCAATTTATTGACTAATTATTGTATCTTCTTATTAAACTATTTTTCTTAAAATTTTTTTGACTTGTAAATGGCACCAATAAAGAGAACAGAAATTATAGAAGATGGAGAGGTTTATTTTTAATTTATAATTTTTTAAAAATTAATTTTTTCTTTCAGATTTGGCCAACATTTGACGTAATAAATTTAAAATGGATTTTTGGACAAAATTATGACAATTTGCTCAAATTCTTGGCATTTAACGGTTTAATTAAAAATAAAATGAAATGTCCGGGTTGTGAAGATTTTATGAGTTTAAATAAAAGAAGAGAGGAGGTTGAATGGAAATGCAAAAAATGTGAGAAAAGAAAATCTGTTAGAGATGGGTCTTTTTTCTCTAGAAGTTCGCTTAATCTGTCTAAATTGGTGCCTTTAATTTATATGTGGTTGAAAGATTTTCAGGTTTTTTTCTTTTTTTTTATTGTTAATTTTTTGTTTAATATCTCTTTAGTATTTTTGTTTTCAATATTAATTGGCATTAATGTTTGGTCTACTCGAAGTTGGGTTCCCCGAAACCGTGTCTTTTTGCGACTAACCTCGAATTTTTTTTTTGAATCTCAGCTTTGTTTTCCTTTCATTTTCGTCAAAAATTTCCGAGAATATGGAATTCCTTTTTTCCTTTTTCGACAAGAATTCCTTTTAGAATTCCTTATTCTGACAATCAAGGATGGAATGAGCTGAGAAAAATAAAGGTTGGGTCTCGGATCGAAGAATGTCAGAGTAGCGGGTTTTGGGTACCTCGACCCTTCCGTATTGTCCGTTACTTTTTTTCTGTTTAATTGTCTGGGTAATACGAGAGGAGACATAATCTTTCTAAAAAAATTTTTTTGTCTTTCTGAAATCTAGGGAAACTCCAAGGTGAAAAGACGACTCAAACAATTGGATTGATTAAAAAAATTTTTTTCAGAACAAAAATGTTGTTGAAGAATTAAATATAGAATCAACAACAGTTGTTTCTTGGTTCAATAATTGCAGAAATGAATGTATTAATTTGAAAGAAAAAATTGGAGGTTTAAATAAAATGATTGTAATAGATGAATCATGTTGGTTAAATCAGGAACACAGAAAAAGAAAAACTAATGGAGAAACTAGAGAAGAATTGTATAAAATTTTTTTATTAAAATTAGGGCTGGTCCCAAATTCGTCTGGAAAAATTTTTTTGTGGAACAGAGGATGTAGGGGGAATTGACTTTCCGGGAAATGGGGTCAGGGAAGGTTTAGAAATCATGGCTAATATTTTTTATTAACCTAATTTTATAAAAATTAAAGAAAAAAATTTTTTGTGGTTGGCCCCAACCTGCCGGGGAAATTCTCTTTTTTTTGGAGAACGGGGATTCCGTGGGAATTGGCTATCGGGTGAATTCATCTTCGGATTTTGATAGGAATCAGGGTCGAGGATCGTGTACTTTTCATTAAAATTTCGAGAAAAAAAAATTTTTTTTCAAAGATATTTTGGTTGTATAGAACACGGAGAGGGAGGACAAGCAATTATGGAACGTGTTGAAGATAAGGAAATGAGCACACTTTTAAAAATGATTGAAAAATGGATTGAACCTGGAACTTTAATAATTTCGAAGGATTACACAAGTTATTTATTAATGGAAAAATTGATACCACAATATAAGTAAGTCTTGTCTTTAAATTAATAAGAGGTAGAGGTTCCTTCCTTTTTTGGGTGTTTATTTTGGGTTGGTTGGGGAATGGGGTATGGAAATATTTTTAATTTTAAGTCACGTAATCCTTTGAACCATAAATCATGGTGTTGTGTAGTGGAGTCACTATAGTCTCTTCGACCACAAAACTTTTCTATCCCACAATGTCAGGATCGTTCCTTATTTTAAAGTCCGCAAATTTTTTGTCCGCAAAAATTTTGACTTTTGCGGACAAAAGTTGCGGATTTTGCCAGCACGATTAAAAATTATTTTCTCTATTTCTCAGACATGTATTAATTCGTTCTGAAGAAAACCCGGATGTTGGATCCTTAAAATTTGTTGAATTGGAGGATGGAAGTATTTTAAATATCAACACAAATCAATGTATGGATTTGTGGATACAATTAAGACAAAAAATTGTAAGAATATCTGGAACAAGTGCAAAATTAAGTGATTCTTATATGATGGAAGCTCTTTTCAGAATTAACGCTAAAGCTAGAAGAGAAAGTTTTTGTAATGCTTTTATTAAAAATTTGAATAAAAAATATTGTCTTTGAGATCGGCCTTAACATATTTTACCAATAACACATTTTGCCAATAAGGCTAAAAGTTCGCATTTTGTCAATAAGGCTTGTAGACAAAATGAGGGATTTTAGCCTTATTGGTGAAATGTGGTATTGGCAAAATGTGGATATGCTTTGATCTCTTTCTAATGAATTTTTTGTAAAATAAAAATTTTTCTTCTTTGAATAAAATAATTTTTTTTGCAATTTTTTTGTGGTTAAAAAGTTGTTAAAATGACTAGAAAAATATTTTTTTCTATTTTTAGATTTTTTATAAAAAATTATTTTTTAAAGTAAAATGATTGACGCTTCCTGCCTTTTCGATTCGGAAGAAGAAGAAGATGACGAGTCTAAAAAGAAAACTCCAGAGGAACGTAAATTTATATTTAGAAGAGAATTGAGAGCAATGCTTTATGGATTTGGTGATGAAAAGGTTTGTGAATTTTTTAGAAAATATTTTTGATAGATTTTGGGGGAGGCGGATTTTATGATCTAACACGGGAACCTCTCTACGCATTGCCAAAAAATTTTAAAATATTTTCTAAAGCATTATGTTGTATTTTACACGATAAGATTCTACATGCTGTATAATTTTATTAAAAAAGATTTGTTACCACAATCCTAGAGGTCCCTTGCAGGGTTGGAAGGGGTTGAGAAAAAAGTCCGGGTTTCGGGTAACCAGTTCCATCCCTGGTCCCTTGTTAAATTTTTAAAAACTGAGAATTGTTGCTAGAGTCAAAATTGCCTCTCCCAAACAATCAGATTTATGTTTTAATTTTTTATAGCAACCAGCAGAAAATACGTTAGAAGTTTTGGAGCAAATAGTGATGGATTATATTAGAGAAGTGTGTAGAAAAGCTTTGGAAGTTGGCAAACCAAATCGAATAAATTTGGAAGATATTCATTATTGTAAGTTTAATTTTATAAAATTTAATGAAAATTATCTTTTAAGTAATCCGAAGAGACCAGAAAAAATTTGGAAGAGTTAAGGAGCTTTTATCTTTAAGTGAAGAATTAAAAAGGGCTCGGAAGGCGTTTGATGATGTTAAAGAAATTTGATTTTTATGAGGTTTATAAGTAAATTTTTTATGATTTGGGATTTTTTAAATGGTGGGGTATTTAAAAAAGTAGTTTAAAAATTTGTAAAATTAAGATAAAAATTGTTGGGCGGCAAGCGGGTTCGAACCCGGACCCTTTTTGCCGGGAATCTAAAAGGTATCCAACTACACCAAAAAATACAGAATTTTGCCATATTTTTTGTTTTGGAATTTTTTAAAGGGAAATAAAATTTTTAACTTTTAAAATAAAAATTATCGGGAGGCTAGCGGATTCGAACTCACGCCTCCTTTTTTCCAAAAATCTAAAAGGTATCCAACTACACCAAAAAAGACAGAATGTTGCTGCATTCCTTGTTTTGGGATTTTTTAAAGGGAAATAAAATTAGTAAAATGAAAATAAAAATTGTTGGGAGGCAAGCGGTTTCGAACCCACACCCCTATTTACCTTAAATTCAAAAGTTATCCGACTACACCAAAGAATACAGAATGTTAATTTTAAGCATGTTTTAATGCTTTTTTCTTGAAATAAATATTTTAAAATAATTTTTGTTAGTTTATTATAAATTCTATTTAAAATAAATAGAAAATTATATTTTTGATTTTATTATTAATCTAATTTTGTTTTAAAATACAGAAAAATGGAACACAATAGATATGGAAATAAAAGGCACGGCGGTGTTGGACGTCCACATTTTCTGAGACCGATTGGTTTTTTTAAAGATTTATTTCTGAAATTTTTTTTTATTTTTTTCAAGATGACGATGCTGCTGCAACAATTGTCGACGAAGGAAAATTAAATTTGGAAGCGGACCAAACATCTTCAATTATTTATCACAATCCTTTCCTAGCCCTTTCTATCCAACAACAACGCCAACGCTTGCCAATATCAAAATACCGAAATCAGTTACTTTATTTGGTGGAAAAATACAAAACAGTAGTGGTTGTAGGTTATTTTTTAAATTAATTTGAAAGATTTTTGGATGGGAGGGACGAGGATGTGACATTTCGTCCTTCCGTTGAAAATGGGATATTTTGTCATGCCGGAATGTGTTAATGATTTTTTCTCTAATTAAACTTATGGCTGTGGGCTTTGGTGTAGTTGGATAATTTTTAAATTCAAGGGGAATAGGTCGTCGGTTCGAATCCGTTTGACGTACGATGATTTTTATTTTAATTGTAACAAGTTTGTAAGCCATTTTGAAAGATTTCTTTTTTTAAAAAATCCCAAACAAAATTTTTTTATAATTTTTTTAATAGGAGAAACAGGATCAGGCAAAAGCACTCAACTCCCCCAATATCTCGCAGAATTTGGATGGGCTCAAGAAGGAAAGAAAATTTGTATAACACAGCCAAGAAGAGTTGCAGCAGTTACATTAGCTAATAGAGTAGCAGAAGAAATGATGTGTTCTTTAGGTTCTGAAGTTGGTTATGCTGTTCGTTTTGATGAATGTATTTCTGATAAAACAAAAATAAAGGTTTTTTTTGGAATTTTTTTTAAATTAAAAATTGTTTTTGAAGTATGTTACGGATGGTCTTTTGCTTAGAGAATTAATGAGTGATCCATTGCTAGAGGTTAGTTAATTTTTAAAAAAATATTTTGGGTGTTTCCCTAAGAGAGAGTCCATTTTTAAGTTACCCGACGCTAGACGTTTAGGTAAATTAGACGTTTAGGTAAATTAGTTAAAGTCTGACATTTCATCCCATTTGGTGAAATGTGAAATTTTTTTTAACTAATTTATTAAGGCATATAGTGTTGTAATCATTGATGAGGCTCATGAACGTTCTGTCAACTCCGATTTAGTTATTGGATTACTTCGAAAAATAATTGCTATAAGAGATGATCTTCGAATTATTGTTTCTTCGGCGACTATTGAAGCAGAGGTTTTAAATTTTTTTTATTAATTCTCTTTCATTTCTAGTTGTTTCGTGACTTTTTCGAGTTAAATGAAGATTACAAAAATTCTGATAAAAATACTGCGGCAATAATTTCTGTAGAAGGAAGGATGTTTCCTGTCAATGTATTCTACACTAAAGTGTTTGTTTTTGTTTAAATTCTGTAAGATGTTCAAAAATTAATAGAGTTTATATTTTCAAATTCCAGAGCCCGATCCGGGTCTTTTCTTTCAAGCTGATTCGGGGCGGTATTTTCTGGACCAAAACTGCTAGGACCTTGAAAACCCGGATTTTATCAAAATACCCGTCTTTTAGGTTATCGGGCCTAAAAACTTTGTGCCCGACCTTGTGTCTAACTTTAAAATTAATTTTTAGAGGAGTCCCAGATTATGTCCAAACAACAGTTGATACAATTCTAAGATTGCATAGAGAAGAACCGCCAGGAGATATTTTAGCTTTTCTAACTGGTCAAGATGAAGTTGAACAAGCATGTAAATTGTTGGAAGGAAGTGTTAAATCTTTACCTAAAGATTTAGATAAATTGTTGATTCTACCACTTTATGGAGGTCTGGACATTTTTTTATATATTTTTTATTTGGAGTTGGGCAGGTTTAATTTGATGAGTTCTCCCGTCTTAAAAAATTTTTAATTAATCGAACTTTAAGGTTTTTTCCCGGAATTTATTAAAAAAATTTTTTCTTGTGCTTACTTTCCGTATTGATAATAGTTTTGCCATTGGTTTGAAACGAAAAAAAGTGGCGAGCTTCTAACCGTGAAATAAGAAGGTCTTTTAAAAAAGAATTCTCGAGGATTTCAAAAGTTTAAAAATGTGAAATATGAGGTGTAGGTTGAAGAGGCAGTCCGTAGTCTGGGTAAGTGTCAAAATTATTTTCTGATTAGTTCGCCTCCTCTTATCCATTTTTCTTTAAAAAAATTTCTTTAAATGTCTAATTTTAATTTGCCATTTTTAGGTCTTTCACCAAAAGAACAATTTCGTGCTTTTGAATCAGCTCCATATCAAACAAGAAAAGCAGTTATTACAACAAATATTGCAGAAACATCAGTTACAATAACTGGAATTGTTTATGGTTTTTTTCGTAAATATTTTTTAGAATTATAATTTTAATTTTTTTAAGTTATTGATTGTGGATTTGTTAAAATTAGAGTTTTTGGTAAATTTCTTCAAGGGACTTATTTTAATTTACCACAGATTCTGTGGACCGCAGTCTGCGTAATTTTTGTTTTGAAGGTGGATCGGAGTTTTGGAAAATTCTTCGGGTTGAGTTTTGGTCGAAAAATTCTGGTTATCGGGTTTTGGGTAACTCGAGCCACTCCTGGCGTTACCAGGGATCCTGCTGACAAAAAACTAAAATTCCCGATTTCGTTGATTCTGGACGGCAGGATCCCTGTCGTGTACTATAGAATCTGAACAGATAAAATTTAATTAAAACAAATTTTCCCTGCGTTTTGTGCGCAGAATGCAGAATCTGTGGGCAATTAAAATACGACTCTGAAATTTTAAATTAAAAAAAAATTTTTAGATTCAAAAATAGGAATGGAGTCTCTTGTAGTTATTCCTTGTTCAAAATCTTCAGGTTTTCTTTCAAATTTTTTTTAATTTAAAAATAAAAATTTTTTAAAAAGCTGAACAAAGAGCTGGACGTGCCGGACGTTTAAGACCTGGAAAATGTTTTCGTCTTTACCCAGAATCTGAATTTAAAAAATTGAGTAATTCAACAATTCCAGAAATTCAACGAGGAGATTTGTCTTCGGTTATTTTGAGGCTAAAAGCTTTGGGAGTTCAGAATGTTTTGAGGTTTTTTTCTTTTTTTTTTATTATGAGAATTAGGTTGATTGTTGCGGCTCTTTGATTTGAGACTCCTTTTCGGACCTGCTTTACAGAGGGGCTAATTTAGTTTTTTGGTTCTGATGGCTGTTCTTTGGCCTGATTCGACTTCCCTTTTCCCTCCCACGTTATTTTCTTTATTCTACAAAATTCGCTCCGAGGAGTGCTTTTATGAAAGGACATCTAGGTCGTAATTGGCAATAATTTGTTATTTAGTTTATTTCCCTTCTTTTTCCTTTTAATTATTTTAAAGAAATTTTTTGAACCTCTCAACATTTATATTTCCCCATTTTTATAGATTTAATTACCTTTCTCGCCCATCTTCTGCTGTAATGGTTCAGTCCCTTCAAATGCTTAACGCTTTAAAAGCAATTGATGATGATGGACTTTTAACAAATCCTTTAGGTTTTCAAATGGCTGAATTACCTTTATCTGCAATGCATGCAAAAGCTTTAATTTCTTCAGGTTGTTTAAAAAATTTTTTTTCATTTCGAAAAATTTTTTAAAGCTGAATTTGAATGTTCTAAAGAGATTGCTACAATTGTAAATATTTTTATTTAAGGGCGTCTTGTAATGCCAAAATGCATCCAAATAAAACTCAAAAGTCATTGAAAGCCGAACTTTTAAGGTCGTTTCTAGGGCTGAGAAAGCAGGTCTTTTGATTTTTTCTCCCTTTTCTTCCTTCTTCACGAGGAAAATGAATAAGAGGGAAATTAGAATAGATGCCCGAACATACAACATGAAAAAAAGGAAAGGAAATGAATTCAAAATGCCAATTTTGCCTGTTTTTCCCAGTCCTAGTGAGGTTTTTTTTTAATTTTGTTGATATTAATGCTTTTGGCGGGTTGGCATTTCGATGATTTTTGGGCATTATAAGACGTTACCTTTTTTAACTTAAAAATCAAAAAAAAATTTTTTTAAAGATTTCAATGATGCAAATTAGAGACGTTTTTAACCATCCAATAGGTTCAAAGCACAAAGCAGAAGTAAATAAACGTTCACTTTCTGTTGAAGAAGGGGATCATTTGACTTTGTTAAATATTTTTGATTTATTTATTGAGGTTTTTTTTAATTTTATTTTTAAAAAAATTTTTTTAATTTAAAGAATGGACGTTCCCAAAATTGGTGTCAACAAAATTTTTTAAATTACAAGGCTTTGTGTAGAGCTGAATTTATTAGACAACAATTTATTGGATTTTTAAAGAATGCTAATTTAAAAATAAATTCTTGTAAAGGGACGATAGGTAAGATTTTTTTATAAGATTTTATAATGCCAAAACGTTGCCGTTTGGAATTTTAACGGCATTTAGGGGTTTTGGTATTTCAATGTTTTGTCATTATCACTAGAGATCGGAACGGGTCCGGATCACTTTTCCCTCTTTTTTTGAAGCAACCGGGATGAAAACGGGAACGCGAATTCCCGTTTTCCCGGTCCGGGTCCCTCCCGGTTAACCTTCAGAACCCGTTTCCCGGTTCTTGGACCCGGTTTTTTTTTAAATTCTGATCTCTAATTATGACTCGCTTCGAGATTTTTATTTTTGAATTTTGCGCATTTTAAAATGCTGAAATTTTGAGATCTGATATTTTGTCCTTGACATTTTAAGAAATTTTTTATTATTTTTAAGGAGAAACAGCAAAAATCCGTCGAGCACTTTTGAGTGGATTCTTCTCACAGGTTGTTAGACTTAAATTTTTTTAAAATTTTTCTTGAAAATTTAATTAGGTTGCTTATTACGATCATAGAGGTTTATATGTAACACTAAAGGGTGAACATGCATTTAAAATATATAAAGGATCTGTGTTGATGTATAGAAAAGAATATCCAAAATGGTAAGGGCATTAAATTATTTTTTCAAAAATTTCCTTTTCTTCAAAACTATTTTTTCTCTTGTCTGCAACAGTGGGGTCCGCTAATGTCAATCCGCAAATTTTTCCATTTTGAAATTTTTATAACTTGTTTAATTGACAATAAAATTAGGAATAGGAGAATAAGTTTATGGAAGGAAAAGTGACTAATTAATAATCTTAAGGATCTTATAACTGTTAACGAGACCAGTGTTTTAAACCAAATAATTGTGTACAAACTTTTAGAACAAGGGAAAAAAATAATTCCTGTACGAAAATACGAATATGAGCAAATTTTAAATTTACAAACACTTTTAAGAAAAAGATGGGGGAGAATGGCTAATTAAATTTTTTTTATAAATCTTATAATTGTTTAATAAATTTTTTAGGGTTCTCTTTACTGATGTAATGCAAAGTTCAATAAAGTATTTTTTTAATTTTTTAAATTAAAAAAATTTATTTTTAAGAGATTTGAGTGAAATTGATCCAAAATGGCTTGAACAAATAGCCCCACATTATTATGAATTTGGATCGGTTTTTTAAAATTTTTTTGTTAAAAATTTTCTATTAAATTTTAAAGGATTTGCAAGGAACAAAAAGAAGAAAAATTGACGATAATAATTTTGCAGAAGGAAGAATGGCTAATTTAAATTGAAATTGTTGTTTTGACTGAGAAAGAGGACATAGAAGGGAAGGAATTTTTTAAAAACACAAGTTTAATTTGGTTTATTTTTTTCTAATATTTTTTGGATCAACCCAGAAGGACAAGATCCAGAAGGTCCTAGTAGGTCAAATGACCCAAATTAGGTCAAATACAAATTTTTGGAGGAATTTGTGGGTATTAAGTAGGATATCGTTGGATTTGGCTTTCTGGGGTGGACCCTATTTTTTTAATAAATTTATATTTTTTTTAAATTTTTTTAAATTTTTTGTGGTTAAATCCTTAGATACTTTATATAATATTTTTTAATTTCATTTAATTACAAGAATTTTCAAATAGTGTGACATTTTTTGTTCTACATTTATTAGTTTATGTCTGAAACAAACAAAGGTTTATTAATTAATCGAAAGGATTGTTATCATTACAGGTTTTTTAATCAAAATTTTTTTTATTTTTTTTTTGGTTGGGCACATTTCCTTAAACCTCAGTGTGGGGGATTGGATGGGGTTCTGCACAGGGTTTTAAGCAATCTCGTCTTAGAATTTTGGATTTACCCCAGTGAGGGTATATTTTTAGATTTGCGGACGTTTTAAACTTGCGGACAAATTTTTTAGATATTCCTAGATTGAAATTTTAAATAATTTTTTAGTATGGGTTTGAGATCCGATTTTTTCCATCCGGGTCAACCTCTTGAAAAAATCTTGTTACGGGGTCTAGGAAAGGCAATTTTCTCCGCGCTCTATCAAACTCCCTGTTAAGCCCCATTTAAGAAAGCATTAAAAGTAAAAAAAATTTTTTTTCAATTTTAGAGATTTATATTTTGATTGTCTAGAAAAGAACAACGAAAACAAAAATAGGTGTCATCGAGAATTTGAAAAATTTTCAGATGTTTGTCAATCTACCTGGGTGTATGTTTTTTTAAATACTTATAAAATTTATTTTTATATTTTAAAGGTCGCATTTTATTCGCAAACGGGGTATTGAAAAATACAAGAAGGCTGTTGAACCTAAACAAGATGGAAAATCAGATGCGAATGTTACAAGTGGTTAGTGTTTATTATAAATAATTTTTTAAGGTAGTTGGGGGGGGGGGTTAAAGGGAGACGCTGAATTAGTTTGAGATTTGGGAGAAATCATACTATTTTATAAGTGTGATTTTGCTGTATTTTTTAAGCTTGATAAAGACACCAAGAAAGTTGCAATTATTTTTTTGAGACAACATTTTTCTGTTGTGTTTTTTATAGTTGTTAATTCAGTCCGGTAAAACAAAATTTGAAGATTTCTATAATTCCCTAGCATTGTGTCCAGCTTGCGGACAAATTTTTTAGTCTTCCGGACAAATTATAGATTTGCGGACAAATTTTTAGATTTGCGGACAGGTTTTCAGAATTGCGGACAAATTTTAAAACTTGCGGACAATTTTTGGAAGTTGCGGACAAATTTTTGTTTTGCGGACAATTTTCAATAAATCTGTCCATATCCTTTCTATTCCCGACTACCAGTTTTTATATTTTATTTTAATTTTTTGAGTAAAAAGAATTTTTTTTTCAAGGCAAACAATCAAACTGATGCTATTCAAGTACCATTTTTAACAACAACAAAAACTCCGCAAAAACTAAATTTTGAAAAAATAAAAAATGTCAAAATAAATCAACATTTTATTCGTTTATTGGAAGAATTATTTTCAAATAATTTGTCTTTGGAAGCACTAAATTATTGTTATTCAATTTTTTCAACTAATATTGTTATTAATAGTAGAACGTTAATTTTAGCTGCAAAAATTGTTGCAATGGTTTGTGGGGGTTTTTAATTAGAATATATTTTTGTGGGGGTTATACTTTGATTAAAGTTGGGAATTGTTTAATAATCCCTAACATTTTGACTAACTTGCGTACAATTTTGAATTTGCGCACAAATTCTTAAACTTGCGGAAAATTTTTGAGATTTGCCGACAAATTTTAAGATTTGCGGACAAAAAACTTGCGGACAGATTTTCAGATTTACGGACAAGTTTTAAGATTTGCGGACAAATTTTTAAAATTGCGGATAAATTTTTAAACTTGCGGACAATTTTAAAATTTTATTATTTTTGTTTTTTAATCTATCCGTAAGTTTTTTACCCCCACAATTTTTAATTCACAAATTTAAAAAAATTCAAAAAAAAATTCTTTTTGCAGTGTCATACAACAAAAACACCAATTTCTTCAATAAATTCAAACAAATTAAATTTAATTTTAAATAAAATACAAAAAGAATTGCCAAATTGTGAAAATTCAATAAAATTAACAATTCAACTTTTATTGGATGCAAGTAAAGGAGATTGGAGTAAAATAAATATTTTGGAACGCATTCCTGATAAAGCTGAATGTTTTGCTATTTTGGCCAGTATTTTAATTGAAAGGAGGGAATTCGATATTTTGAGGTATTTTTTTGTTAATTTTTATGTGTTTATTTCTCTGTGTTCTTGCGGGTGGGGATATTTTTGGATTTGCGCACTTTTTAAATTTGCGGACCAGAGGTGGGTCAAAATCCAATTTCCGACAGTTCCGATTTCCCGCGTTTTTTTCCTTCCGATTTCCGAAAAAAATTTTGATTTCCGATTTCCGAGTTTTGAGCCATTTCCGATTTCTGACAGTTCCGATTTCCGACACCTCTAACTGTTCCGACCCACCTTGCGGATTGAAATTTTGTTTAATGATTTTTTGATATGGGTTTGAGATCCGATTTTTTAAATTTCATTTCCCATACTCTAATGGTCCTTTTTAGGTCGGAGAGTAGGAAATCTCAATTTTTTGTACTTTTAAAGAAAAACAAAATTTCCACGGGAATATAACTTTTTAATAATAAAATATAATATTTGCGGACAAAATTTGCGGATAATTCTTTGGTTATATATTTTTTTTAAATTTTTCTTGTGTTTTTCAGTTCATTGTGTTCAATTATCCAACCAAAACAAAAATTTTATCAACATCCAATTTTGTGGAATTCATTTTTAAATTTTTTGGAAGAATTTAACAACACAAAACAATGTAAAGAATTATTAGAATTATTTATGGATCAAATTGTTTCTATTGGAAAAACAATTACTAGTGAAGAATTTAAATGTATTCAGGCTGCTTTGAGGTTTGGGGAAAAAATTTTTTTTATCGTTTTTTAATATCAGAAAAATCAGAATAATTCAGGAAAAAAATCAGAATTTTGAAAAAATCAGAATAATTCTGGGAAAAATCAGAATTATTCTGAAAAATCAGAAAATTCTGAAAAAAATCAGAACAATTCTGAGAAAATCAGAATAATTCTGGAAAAATCAGAATTATTCTGAAAAATCAGAAAATTCTGAAAAATCAGAAAATTCTGAAAAAAATCAGAACAATTCTGGAAAAAAATCAGAACAATTCTGAAAAAAAAATCAGAATTCTGAAAGAAATCAGAATTCTGAAAAAATCAGAATTTGTTGGAAAATCCAGACTCAAGTGTCTTATATCTAGATTGGACACTTGAGTCTGGACATTAGAGCCTAATTTTTAAAATTTTTTAGTTATTACAAAGAATGGAAAGTTGAAGAAGCAACAATTTCTAAAGAAACATTAGAATGTTCAATTTGTAAGGAAAAATTACCTGAACAAAAGCCTTTGGATAATGAACAATTTTTAAAACTTAGAGACGCCTTTAGAGAATATTTGCAAAATGGGTTGTCAAATCGAATTTCTGGAGAAAATACAGGCAAAGGGTTTTTCTTTAGATAAAAATGGGGGTTATTAAAAATATTACAAGGAAAAAAGGAAAGCTCAAAGATTAAGGACACACGGGAGAGATTTTTTTGGGTATTTTTGCGGATAATTTTTGCGGACAAAATTTGGATTAATTATTTATTGTTTTTAAGACGTGGGAGAATCGTAAATAACCAGTAAAAAAATGTAGACTAATTGTAAGAAATAAAAGACGGGAAAAACTGTCCGCAAAAATTTTTTTAAGAAAAATGTCCGCAAGAATTGTCCGCAAAAAATTGTCCGCAAAAAAATTTTTTTAAGAAAATTGCTTTTCAGCAAATCAAAGATTCTATAAAAACCCTCGATAATTTATTAACGAAAAAGAATCGTAAAAAATGTAGACTAACATAAGTAAAAAAAGATTTAAAATCTGTCCGCAAGAATTGTCCGCAAAAAAATATCCGCAAAATTTTTTTATGAAAATTGGGAAATAAGACATTTTTTAAAAATTCTGATAATAATTCTGAAAAAATTATTTTCTTTTTTCAGCAAATCAGAGATTCTATAAAACCCTCGATAATTTAATAATACAGACAAAATCTTTAAAAAATTCCAAACCTTTAATTGTTGATGGATTAAATTTGGCTAGAGGTGTTTATAGGCGTGAACGTTTCCCCTATTTTAATAAAATAATTGTTGAAATGATTGAAAAAAAATTTTTTCCAATTTTAATAATTTCAAAAACTCCATTTACCTATTTTTACCAAAATAAATTACAAAAATTACCAAATGTGAAATTATTTGAAATTGAAAAAGAATTTAAAAGGTAAGAGAAGGAGAGGGGGAGAGACTCATTTCAGCCCTAATTAATTTTTATTTTTTAAGCAAATCAGAAATTAATATAAAATATTCAACTCAAGATGACTTGTTTGCAATAAATAGGTGAGGGATTTTAAATTTTTGTTTTTTTAACTGAAAAAGCGGGCATTTCGAGTCTGACAAGTGAGAATAAAACTCACAGGAGTGTGCCAAAACAGATTTTAAAAAACGTAAGGCGAAATATCAAAAAAGACGAAGATAATAGTTCGGAGGAGACCTTTCCCCTCCTTTTTCCTTCCTCAAAGTATTAAAAAATGGTCAGTCAGTCTTAGGTTATAGAACTCGTCGAGCTGGTGTCGAATGACACCAAAATCAGAAAGGAAAAAAAAAGGGGGGGGGGGTCTCATTCGAACTATTACCAAGACGAAAATCGCCGAAGCGGCAATCACTGATATATAGAGTGACCTCCTTATAGTGGAACCTCGATATAAGATACCCTAAATTTAAAAGGCTACTGAATAAGGTGAGGGGGTTCTTAACAAGTGTTACCTCCCCTCTATAAGATACACCAATTTATAAAAGATACGGGGTGAGGAGAAGCAGCAACCTCTGGTATATAGTGTGACCTCCATATAATGGAACCTGCTATAAGGCAAATATAAATTTAAAACAAAAGAATAAGGGGGAGAGGGTAGTTAACAAGTTCTACCTCCCTTCTATAAGATATACCAAATTATAAGAAACGGACAGGGTATTTTCCATCCCCAAGGAGTGTGGACCTTCTAGTGTATATTTTGGAGCTTTAGAATATGCCCAAATTTGCTATAATTTTTTTTGAAATTTTTCTATTATAGCGCATTCTATCTCGGTCCAAATACACATTTGCTTAGCAATGACAATTTTGTAGATCATATAGGATCCAGACATTTTCTGCCGGAAATTGCTCCACTCTTTAAAATATGGAGAGAAACTAGATGTATTTCCTTCATTCCTGACGGAACTGATGAAGAAAAATTTTTTAAGGTGGATATAAAAAATTTACGGTAGACCTCGTGCCGACTCAACTGAGTTCCGGACCCTATAACTTATGAAGGGATGGTCACTTTTTGTTACTCTTTGTACCATTGGATAGGGCATTAAATAGGCTACAATATACCAAAAAATCAAAATTCCTGACCGACTGGTAAAAAAGTTATGATCGATTAAGTGCCGAAAAATTAGATTTTTTTGAAAAAGGTTAGTTTTTAGGTCATAACTTTTTTACCAATCAATCGAAAATTTTGATTTTTTGGTATATTGTAGTCCATATAATGCTCTATCTAATGGTACCAAAAACATTAAAAATTATCAACCCGTACTTTAATTATAGGGCCGGGACTAAGTTGAACTGCTCCGAAAAATTTATTTTTCTAGACAAGACTCAAATGTCCCGAAAAGGACGTTTGAGTCTGAAATAAAATTTTACACATTTTAAAGCTGCCAAACCCTTTTTACGCTCAAATACAAGGAGACGCTTTACGTGGCTATCATATTTTTGTTAAAGATAAGACGGATGATAAACTATATCATGTGAAAGAGGAATTAGTTTATTGTGTTAGGACAAAATGATGAATATTTTTTAATTTTTGTTTTATTTTAGAAATTTTAAGTTAAATTTTTTTGTTTTTTTTGTGTATTTTTACAAGACTGAAGCTGACACTATTTCAGTTAAAAATATCTGATAATTATTAATTTTTTGAATACTCATTTTATTTAAATGGGAAACCTTAAAGGATAACATTTAGGGAAAATCTGACCATTTTTAATTTTCGACATTTTGAAATTTTTCATTTTAATTTTTATTCCATTTAAATTTCAAAATGTCAAATTTACATTTTATCTAAAATTTTCTTGTTTTATTTTTTTAATCATTTTCTTGATCTTGAAAGATTTAAAAAGATTATTTTTATATTTTTAGATATTATATTATAATTCTAAATTGATTTCAATTATTAGATAATTATTTATGGCAAAAAATATGCAAGGTAATTAAGCAAATTTTGAATGACAAACGCAAGAAAAATATTTTTTTCAGACTTTATTTATGCCCTTTTTGACTTTGCCGAAACCAACAATTCCAATACCAATTTGTCTGATGCTGCTTTACGTTCACTCGTTTCTTTAGGCGTTAAAAAGCCTAAAATGTTTATAAATGCTGTACATACATTTTTGCTCGATAATGGAAAAAAGGTTTTTCTTTTTGTTATTTTTTAGATTGCATAATTCAATTTAGATGAATGAAAAAGACAAAGCTTTTGCTTTTCGTTGTTTAACAAACGTTTTTAATCAAGTGGACGTTGTTGATGTTTGTGATGAACAACAAATTTTATTAATTGCTAATCTTAGCACACAGGAAATGAGTATGGCTAAGGTATGTTTTTTTGGTGATTATAATTTTTAAAAACCCTTGATTTCGGTTGAGAACTTTTCCCACATTCTTGACCTTGATTTGATAAAAAAAATCAAGGTTTGGATTAATCAGTAACACTAAAATGACTTGATTTTTATTCTGGGTCAAGATAAATCAAGGCCTGTCTTCAGATCCAAACCGATTTCTAATATTTTTTAGGGGGGTTATGGCTTGCTCTTGTTAAGGCTTTTTTAAAAAAAATTTGTAGGATGTTGAAAATGGACTTGCACATGCGGCAAAAGACGTTTTTGTTTCTTTGGTTGGAAAATCTGACAAATTCGTTAATCACGTATATAATTTTTTAGTTAATTTATTTTATCAATTACAACTTTTTTAAAGGTTGTTGACTCTCTTTTACACAAATTCCAACCTGGTTCAACTTCTCCTCCCCACAGATTCATTATTTTGACATTATCAGAAATTGCACAAAAGAATCGTTTGTTTTTTGATTCTTGGAATTTTTGATAAATTTTTTAAAAATTTTAGCTGATGGTTTTTTGCCGTTTTTACATGAGTATATTTTTTAATTGACAGAAAAATCTTTAAATTTTATTCTTAAGTATTCTTGCACGGACAGATGCTCTTTTACCTCACTTAAAAAATGACCAAATCAAAAGTGCTTTTTGTCAGGCTCTTTGTTCTTTTGCGGAATCTGGTTTTTATTTTAAGATTTCATTTGGTTATTGAATTTAATTTTTATTTTTGGGACGTTTTTCACAAAATTTTTTAACTTTTTGTTTTTTCAGTAAAAGAATTTATTTGGACACAAAAACGGCAAAATAATGAAATGGAAATTAAATCTGACGAGTGTGTAGCAGTCGACGAAAGCGAAATTAGTGAAAGTTATGCTGACCAGTTTGAAACTGCTTACGATGTTATAATTAATTGGACTACTTCTTCAAAGGACCATAAAGTTTGTTTATTTGACTAGGATATTTAATCTAAACAAAGTGTTTCTAATAGGGGTGGGTTTTTCGAGGCGGGCCGACGTTAGAGTCACTTTTTTCGGGTCTCATTTTTTTCGGGCCGGTCTGACCGAGTCTTTTTCGGACTAAAATTCAATGCTAGACTCGATCTTTCGGACCGAGCTGGATCGGGCTACCAACAGTTTCTTACCTATTACATATTGATAGAGTGGGTATTGTTTTAGGTATAGGTTGGTTCGAGTCCTTTTATTTGTTCTTATTTGTCTTCTTTTTCGGCGATTTTTAATTAAAAAAATATTTTTTATTTTCAGTGTCGTGCTGATGCTGCTGAATGTATAGGAAAGCTTTGTTTAATGATTGACCGTGAACGAATATTAAAAGATTTGAAACGTTTGGACACTATATTTCGTTCATTACACAAAAAGGCTTTAAATCCTGAAGAGCAGTTAGCTATTACAATGGTTTTATTTTTAATTTTGAGGGAAATTATTGACAATTTTTAGGGTATTTCAAATTTTCTGCAAGCTTCCTGCATCGAAGAAAGTATTCCAATTGAACACTACATTAATGACTTGTTTGAAATGCTTTTTCCGCATGTTTGCCTTCCTGCTGATCAAAGTTCTTTTTTTTAATTTTTCTGATTTTTAAAATTTTTATTAAATTTTTTTAAAGTTGTTGATGACCCTTCCTTGCCAAATTTATTACAAATAAAACTTCGAAATGAAGTTTTTCGATGTTTTCAAGTTTCTAGTTGTAGGACTGCTGATAAAGAGGTTTGTTGATTTTATAGGGTTTTTATTCTTTTTTAAATAAATTTGATGAAAAATTTTTAGATTTATTTTTTGTTGCATAAAATGCAAAGTCAAAGCGAGGTTTAAATTATTTAATTTTAAAATTAAAAAAAAATTTTTTAGATTGTTAAACTGGGTGCTATAAATTTATTTAGACATCTTCTCAATTCTGCTGGTTAATATTTTATTTTTGTTTAAATTTTTTAAGAGGTTGAGGCTTTCTTCCGACTTTTTTTTCTGAATTTTCCCTATTTTTTCGAATTTTCCTCTTGTTTTGAATATTTTCCCTTGATAGTAAATCTTTATTTTTAAGAATCCGCATTTTTATTTTTTCTCTTCTCATTCTACTAGAGTTGTACAAGGAATGAGGTAGTACAAGATTGTTCCCCGTCGAGTGGAAGGCCTCTGGGAGAATCTTTTATGGAAGCAGCGCCACAGGATCCAAGGACGGGGGAATTTCAAAAAATGTCTCAAATTCCCCACAACTTTCATAGGAACTTTCATGTCCCACCCCCCCCCCCCCCCCCCCCCAACTTTTCTTACTTTTTATTAATTTTTTATTATTTTTATTTTTAGATGATCAAATGAAAGAAAATCGTTCATTAATAACAATGGGAATGAAACCATTTTTAAATGATGAACAATTATCAATTCGTGTAAAAATGAATTTATGTCAATTATGTATAGCTTTATCAGATAATGAATATGTTCAAGCAGATGAGGGGGGAGAACATGTTATACAATTTTTACTTGCAAATTTGGTGGTCAATCGCAGCGATTTGAATGTTAATAATAATAAAATGCTCTTTTTTATTATTTTAATTTTATGGATCGGACAAATATTTTGGGCAAGTACTTGATCAAGTATAGTTCTCTGGAATAATTTTTTTAATAAATAAATGCTTGATCAATTACCTTATTTTGTTTAATTCAAAAAATTGCTTAAATTTTTTTAATTTTTGAAAGAAAATTTTTTTATTTTTAAAGGTAAAGCAACGCTCTTCAGTCCAACAACAACAATTATTACAAGCGTCTAGTGATGCAAGTCTAATTACTCAATTGAGTGCACAATGTGCTCAAGCATTATATACAATTTCGAATACTAGTAAAGTTGCTTGTGAGGTTTGGAAAATTTAAATTTTTTAAATATTATATAAGACTAGCAAGGAAACATTTTGAACTATATGTGAAAATTTTAGTTTTTTTTTCTGCTCCATCGTGTAGAGCATGGTCGATAACCTATTGCCAATTTTCGGCTTTTTCCTTTTGACCCCCATTTCGAAAATTTATAGGGTTCAAAGTTTTTGAATTTTCTTTCTTTGTGGATTTTTCCAGGGATCTTTTTTTGCGGACTTTTTTCTTAAAGGAATTTTTTTTAAATTTCTTTCAGTTTTTAATTTTCCCAATTTTCAGCTTCTTTGGCCAAAACTTTTTGAATATGTTTGTGTTGAACAATATTCACTAGTAATTACAGATATATTTAAATGCTTACGTGTTCTGTGTGGAAGAATAAAACAATCCTGTAATAAATTGGATATTTATGATTTTGAAGCTAATTGTAAGAAAAAGTTTTATTTTTAGAGAAAAATTTTGCGGACTTTTCCTTTGCTATTTTTGCGGACTTGAGTGAATTTTTTTATTAATTTTTTCCTAATTTCAGCAAAACTTCCTGGACCTTTCCAATTAATTTGTCGATTAATTGTATTTATGAATGGAGCTCCCCAAAATGCCCAATTAAATGCACGAGCGAAAGAATCAATCAATTTATTTGGAGAATTGTTTTGTTGGTTGAATAATAAATTTTGTGAAGCAGATTCCCCATTGACAAAAATTATTGGCCATTTATTGGAAAGTTCACAAAAAGGTTTTTTTATTTTTTAAAAATTAAAAAAAAATTTTTTCTCAAAGAATTTTCATCAAATTATCCATCTAATGAAGATAAAAATGATTATTTTGGAAAAGAAATTTTATTTTCGAGAGTTGAAAGATGGCAAGCTGTTATATTAGATTTGTTATGTTCTTTAATAAATGCTGTTGAAGATCAGGTTTATTTTTAGAAATTATTTTTTGTTACTTGGTAGGGTATCTAAAGATGGCACTGGTAAGGAAAAAAGGAGGGGTGGGTGTCTGAAATGATTTTCGAAATTTCTCAAATTGGGTAATCTGATTTCGTATCAGAAACTTGTCTTGGTTTCGAATTCTAGCCCCCAGCCCCTTGTATACGCCCTTGGTAATCCATGACATCCCTGGTGTAGTGGAAGAATTTCAGGTTTTTAGGGAATAGGTCGAGGGTTCGAACCCAGCTGAGGAAATTTTTTTTCTTTTGGCTGAAAAATTATTTTTTCTTCTCTTTCCCTTCAAAAAAATTTTTTTAATACTGACTTTAGATTTATTTTCATTTTTTTCTTTAGTCTTGGCGGCAAAATTTAGCTTCAGCCCAAGCAAAACAATTAAGTACACTTTTTACTTCAGCTTCAGATTCTTTTCAATCTTCACAAGATAAAGCTTTTTTAATGCGTTGTTTAGGCTGTACACTTGCAAGAATTGAAGATCCAACATTTATTAAAGAACATTTATATTTTTTATTTCGACATACCCAACACTCCTCAATTATTGAAAGAATTGGTTGTGCAATAGCTACAGGACACTGTGCTTCAGTTTTGGATCATGCAGATTTGGTATTAACTGAATTAGAAAATGTTTCAAAATGGGAACATATGAAAGAAGGAAAAAAGCAAAGTGGTGGTTCTTCTGCTGGATTTTTGTCTTTTATTAAGGTTTTTTATTGGGTTGTGTAACCAAAAATGTTCTTTTAGCTATCGGTTTTTAGATTTCTTTCTTATTTTTTTGTACATTCCAGACAGGCCCGTAGCCAGGATTTTTTCGCGGGGTTTGGGCCAAGGTGAAAATTTTTCTGCGCCAAATTAAATTTTGATTTTCAGCGCCACAGGCAAAAATTTTAGATGATAAAAAAATAAATTCCCGATTTCGGAAAAGGGCTTCCCGGCCTAAAGATACGTCAGTCAGTTCCTGATTTTTATGATCGGATCGATTGGAGTTCTGGTACTTATTGTTAGTTGATTTTTGGGACGGCTCATTCTTGTCCCTCGTACTTACCTTATTTTTAGATTATTTTTCTACATGTTTCTTGTTCGAATTAAGCATAAAATCTGATTCTTTTTCTTTTTTATAGGATTCTTTACCTTATGGAAGATCTGTTGACGCAGAAATTTTAAATTTGAGAGCCACAATAGTTCTGAGTTTTGGCTATGTTTGTTTTTACTGCCCAACTGAAGGATTAGTTTTGCGTCTTCAAAATACAGTTTTGCCATTTTTACGTCAATATACTGCAAATTCTAAGGTTTTTTTTAAATTTTTAATTAATTTTTTTACAAAATTTTAAAGGAATCTTCTCTTCGTGAAGCACACTTGGAAACATTAAATTTAATTGCTTTGTCAGTCCATCCAAATAGATTGCGTGATTATCGATTTGAGTCACGTTATGAATGTTTAAGTTATATAAAGGTTTTTTATTTAAATTTTTTGGGAATTTGCGGACTTCTTTTGGGGATTTTTTGCAGATTTTTCTCTCGTTTGTCTTGTATTTGCTACTTTTTTCCCTTGCTGAAAAAGCAAAATACGTGAATAGAATTGGAAAAGACAAAAAGTCTGCAAAAATTCTTGCAGAAAATCCGCAAATTTTTTACTGACAATTCTTACAAATCCCAATTTGTTAAAATTTAATTTTTCAAAATATTTTTTCTCTTAAATAGGAATATGTTAATGACGAAAAATCTTTTGACACCGTAACAACTTTGATTCGTCTTCGTGCATGTAAAGCAACTGCTTCACTTGTGTATTTTTTTAATTATTTTTTACCTTTAAATTTAAAAAAATTTTTTCTTTGAAGATTGTTGGAACCTCCTCTTAGCGAAAACGAATTTATTGATATAATTAATGTCCTTATTCCAAATATATTTCCAATAAATAGAGAACGTGGTGGATTAAAAGCGGTATATATTTATAAATTTATTTTGGTGGGGTTTTTTGCTTTTTAAATTTTCTTTTTTTCTTTCGTTTGGTTTGGACTTTCTGAACGTTTTTTTGTTTTTATCTTTTTTTTTTCGGGTAGAGCTGTATAACATAAAATTAAGAAAAGAATTTTTCGGGTTTTCTGAGTTACCGTAAATGTTCACATAGAAGCCCGGCTCCAATAGAATCCTTATTAGAAGCCTACTTTAATTCCAAATATATCCTAATAAATAGAGAATGTGGTGGAAACGGCTATACCCTTATAGAGCCCTATTAGAATTTCTTCATGTAAGTGATACCGCTTGATGAATAAACACGCAGGGCTTCTATTAGAACATTTTTTGTATTTTGATTACAATGGTGGAAGTTAGAAAATTTTTTGCTTTTTTATTTTCGTTTAAAAAAAGTGTTGGACAGCTCTATAATTAATTTTCTTTCTTTTTTTATAATTAAAGAAATTTTTTAGTTAAATCAACAATGTCTTTTTTCACAAACTTTCTACAAAAATAGTCAAAATAATAATACGGATAATAATAAATATTATTATTATCCATTTTCTTCTTCAAAAGGATCTGTTCAAAAAATCAGTTCTTCTGTTAAACAGCAAAAAGAAGGTGTTGGAAAATCTGATGGAAAGGATGCCACAAAATGTGGCTTGGTATTTTTTTTTAAATTTTTGGGAAACTTTTTTTTTGTTTTCTTTTCTTGGATTTTGTTTGCTTTTTAATTATTTTAAATTTTCAAATTTAAATATGAAAAAAAATTTATTTTTATAGACAGGTGAAGATGATAGTTCAACAGTTATGGAAGCAACTATAATTCAATGTAGAAATGCTATTGCAAATATGGTTAAAATGCGTCCTTGTGTTAGACCTACAGTTGGGGAATTATTAAAGGTTTACATTTATTTAAATAAATATTTTAGTAAAAATAATTTTGTGCGTTTTCTAACTAGGTCTAGGTCCTTCTAGTGATATTTAAAAAATATTTAGGTTAACCATTTAAAAATATTTTAGCGAGGGTTATAACCCTCGTTTATACCCTCTAGTATGTTTTGATACATTTAGACGATCTGAATCGAACACTGATTAATTTTATGTAATTGTAAGTAAATCCTTTAATGATCAATTAATACATACAGTGGCGGAAATTTACTTAGGGAAAAAATTTTTTCACGGTTTTACAAGTTTTACTCAAAAAATTTTTTCTTCGGCTTTTTTTATTTTTGTGTATTATTGTAGCCCTATTAATTACCTATAAAATGATTATAAACTTGTCCCGAGAAAACTTTCTATTTGACCAGGAAAATTTATAATAGATAACCTACTTTAAAACTGCGCGGAAATTTACTTAGGGAAAAAAAGGAGTTTATTTTTTTTGTGGAAAACCAATGTAGGAAAAATCTGAAAAAATTCATGGGATCTTCCCTATCAATTTGTTGAAGAATGGAAAAAATTCTGACTTCTAACTCACCCCCATAATTGAGATGTCGAGATTCAAAATCAACGGAAAATGGGGTGATTTGAGGTTGATCTGATTAAAAAAATATTGGTGGCCATTCTTATCTATTTAATATTTTTCTTTTATGACTATTTTAAAGCCCATAAGATTTGCTACAAAATAGGCTTTATGCCATTTCTTTAAAAAATTTCTTCATCGAGATAAATACCGAAGAATTATAACATAGTAAATTTACGCCTGATTTTACTCATTTTTCCCTAAAGTAAAAGGTTTCAGCGTGTATCTCGATGAAGAAATTTTTTAAAGAAACGGCATTAAGCCTATTTTGTAGCAAATTTAATGGGCTTTAATCTGAATATTAAAGAAAAATTTTATCTGGGCTCGATGGACCGAAAAATTTTTTTAATCAGATCACCTCCAAATCACCCCATTTTCGGATGATTTTGGATCTCAAAATCACACTGATGGAGGTGAGTTAGAAATCAGATTTTTTTGCGATTCTTCATCACATTGTTAGGAAAGATCTCAGGAATTTTTTCAGATTTTTCCTACATTTGTTTCCTATAAAAAATTAAACTTCATTTTTTTCCCTAAGTAAATTTCCGTGCAATTTCTCGATAGGCTAACTATTTTAAATTTTTCCAGTCAAATAGAAAGTTGTACCTGGACATATTTGGTACCATTTAATAGGTATTAAATAAGGCTACAAAAATACACAAAAATAAATAAAGCCAAAAGAAAATTTTTTTAAGTAAAACCTAAAAACGTGTAGATAAAATTTTTCCCTAAGTAATTTTCCGCCACTGTATGATAGTTTGACCCGACACCTTCGTTGTTGAAATGTTCAGGGTCAGGGTTTAGACTTTCGGGGTTGGATACCAGGGGTGTGCCGTTTAAAAAGCGAAAGGCGAAATTAAATTTAAATTGTGAAACGCGAAAGTCCAAAAAACGCGAAAATATGCGAAAGGCGAAACGCAAAACTCGCACACCCCTGTTGGATACCTAATTAATAGAATATATAATTTAAAATTTTTTTCAAGTTATTTTATCAATATTATGGTAGTGAACGTGATCATGAAAGAGCTAGAGCTGTCGATTTTACTGTTTTAGTATTACAAGTTTATTCAGAAAAAGCTTCAGATGTAACACTTGGAATAGCAAAAGAATTTTCTTCACTTTCTTGGATTATTGCCCGTTTATGCCCTCGTTTATGCGATTCTTTAAGTTTTGTTCGTCTACAATCTTTGAGAGCTATTTGGTTTGCTTTTAAATTGAGTTTATTACATAGAGGACATTCACCTTCTGATGTTGAAATGGTTGACTCTTCTCTTTTTAATATTGACAAATTTATTGAATTGTATTTTGGTGGAACACAAGAAGGACGTTTAGATTCGAATAAATGTAGTGGAGCTATTTTGGCTATTTCTAAGGTTTTTTTTTAATAAATTTTATTTTTTGGGTGGTACTTTTTTGATTATCCTTTCTCAATTTTATTTTCCTTGGTTTCCTTTTTCTTGGCCAAAATATTACAAATGGTTAGGATTACATAATTGGTAATGAATGAAATTTAATTAATCTCTATTCAAATCTGTTGGAGATTGTCATTCAAATGTATTAAATAGTATGACCATTATGTAACCTTGACCATTTATAATTGAAAGTTGATAATATTTTGGAGAAAAAAATAGAAAAAGGAAGAAGGTAGAAAAGCTGTGGGCGAGTCAAAAATACTATTATTTTTTCGGAAAATGATTTTTCTTTTCTCTTTTTAAAGGAAGTTGAAAGTCGTCTACCACAATCTCAAGTCCAAAATTATATTCATATGTTATTCAAAATGTTATCTGACAAGCAAGGAAATGTTAGCAGTGCTGCTGCTCAATTATTAACAAATATTCTTTCTTATAGAGCGAATTTATTACAAAAAGAGGTTTTTAAATTTAAAAAATTTTTGAGAATTTTTTTGTCCGCAAATAATTTTTGCGGACAAAATTTTTAAATTTGCGGACAAAAAATTTGTTTCAAAAAAAATTTTTTTTTAAGGCAGAAGTTTTGCTAATAAATATGCTCGATCACTTGGCTAGAACTCGACAAGAAAAAATCCAAACATATACAGAATTACTTAATGGATTTGTACTTTTTTCTGGACATCATTTACATTTGGCTGTTCAAGTACTTTTGAGGCAAACACTTCCATATAATCAGTTGGTGGTTTTTTATTTGAAATTTTTTCTAGAGGGGATTTTTGAAATTTATCTAGTTTCTGGGGAATTTTTTCTAAATTTTTTTTCTGGACAAAAAAATTTCAAAAAAATTTCGATAATTTTTAGAGGGGTTTTAAAATATTTTTTTTGGGGAATTGGGAATTTCAAATTTTTCCTATTTCTACCTTCTGCCTACCTAAATAACTATTCTGGGCTTGTTAAAAGTATCCACCAGGTGTGAGCTCATTGTGTTTTTGCGTTGATTTTTGGCCTTGCGTTTTGCGTTTTTCACGATTGTGCCTCTTATGCTCACCCTTGGTTCAAAAAAAAATTCAAAAAATTTATTTTTTTAAAGAACACTTTCTGAAGTTTGGGAAATGATGTCGAGAACCCATTTTACATCAATTATAGATTTTTTATTTGAACGTGTTTGGATAGATAATTCTTCTTCTTCCAGTAAAACTCCTGATTTAATTGTAGAGCAAGAAGAAAAAAATATTATTGTTGAAAATAAGGAGGACAGTTTTGAAGAAAAAGAGAAAGGAGGAAAATTAATTAATTTAACAACACCTTTTAATTCTTCACATTTTGAAATTATTAATATTGGTGGTGGAAGTGTAATTAAAATTGTTTCTGATGATACTTGTGCGTTAGTTGCTGCTATTGCTGAAGTTGTTAAGGTTTTTTCAGAATTTTATTTTTATTTAATGAAATCAGAATTTCTTTAAAATCAGAATTTTGGAAAAAAATCAGAATTTTAATTAAAAATCAGAATTTTAGAAAACCAGAATTCTGAGAAATCAGAATTTTAAGAAATCAGAATTTCAGAAAATCAGAATTTTTAAAATCAGAAAATTTTTTCAGAACCAGAATAAATCAGAATTTCAGAAAATCAGAATATATCAAAATATTTTTTGAGACTAAACCGTCCCATTTAAATTTTCTTTCATTTCTCAATTTCATAAGCTCAGAAAATGTTTTACACTGTTCTAGAAAATTTCTGATTTTTAATTCTGATTTTTAATTCTGATTTTATTTTTAATTTAAAAAATAAATTTTTTTAAAGAAAGGAGAACCAGAAGAAGAATTAATTAAACGTGTTCCAAGAATAATTTCTGCTCTTTTAATTTTGTTGGTTTCTTTAATTGACACTCAATACTCTAATGTCCAGAAGAATTCAAATGTTGATTTGTCTGGAACTACTTCAAGTTCACAATCCGGCATTGGAGGAAAGAAAGGTTGGGGAAAATTTAGGAGGGGGTATTAGAGTCTTGACTATAGAGGCTAGGGTGTTTTTTGAGTCTAGTGAATTTTTTTGTGACTTTAAATCACCTTTTAATAATTTTTCTTAAAAATTTTTTGTGTAAATTTAGAGGTAAAAACCAAACCAATAATTCCAATAGTAACATCAGAATTAACTCGAAGTATTGAAACTCCAGCAAAATTGGTTTCTGAAGCTATAAGAACATTCCTAGTTAGAATAAATGCTGAAAATGTTATTGAAAAAATGAATTCTGAGCGTGTTTGGTCTAATATTGTTAGTTCTCAACATTATATTAATGCGGTATTTTTTTAGAATTTTTTAATGAAAATTATTTAGTAAGGGAATATTAAAGACGGGAATGTTTTTTAAGTTTAAATAGTTTTTATTTCATAGCATACAAATAATTTTAAGTAAATTAAGTGTGTAATGGTTGTGGTGTAATGGTTAGTGGTTTAGTTTTGTATTTTTTTCGATGTGGGTTCGAATCCTACCTTTGCCGAAGATTTTCCTTGTCCTGTTTTTATCATTCTTTTTTATTTTAAAAATATTTTTACACTTTAAAAAAATTTTTTCTTGAAATTTTTTTAGATTAAAAATACTCTTTTCTTTCTAGTTATCAAGTTTTTGTTGTGCCCTTTTCAATTTTCGTCCACAATTTATTGGTGATTTGATGAGATTGGAATGTGAATGTTTAAGAGGTGGAGAAAATGTTTTAAAAAATGTTTGTGATGCTGAAAGGATTGTTGCTGTATCTATTCTTTCTTCTTTAATTACAAGGTTTTTTTTAATTTAGATTTCTTCTAAAAAATTTTTTTAAAGCTGTCCTCATAAAAATGGAGAATTTGATTCTTCTTTGTTTTGCGATGTTTTTGGAACGTTGGAAGGAGCTTTAAAAGATCAACTTTTGACTGTTCGAAAAATGGCATTACACGGAATTGGACAAATTAGTCATTTAAAAGGGCCTGATGCAGATGAATTAATTTTATGTTTTTCTTCACGTTCAGTGGAAGCTGCTTTAGCTGGTTTAGATGATTATTGGGACAGGTTTTTTTTATTTTTTAAATGGGAAGGAATGAGGTCATTAAATTTTTCAAAAAAATTTTTACGAAAATTTGAAAAATTTTTTTCATCTTTCCAATGACTTTTAAATTCAGTTTTTGTTTTCCCTCTTATAAAAATTTTCGAGAATTTTTTTTCCTTTTCGACGACCTATCCTTGCCTCCTCGAGAAATTTTTTTAATTTCTAAATTTTACAGACAAGACCAATTAGCAACAGAATCAATAGCTTCATTAGACTCTTTAGTTGGTATATCTCAACCAAAATTAATTTTAAATGTATTACCTCAATTATTATTAAAAATTCGGCCGTGTTTTGAAAAGGTTTTCTTTTAAATTTTAAAGGAAAAAAAAATTCAAAAAAAAATTTTTTTTAAAGGAAAATGAATTGCTTAGATCTAGCGCTTTTTCTCTTTTTGCTGGTTTAGGCTTTTCTGTTGGAAATTATGATATATTTAAAGAAAGTTTACATAGCAATATAATTAGTATTTTGTTACATTTGAATGATAAGGAAGAAAATGTTAAATTGGTAAGCGTAAAAAATTATAAAAAAAAATTAAAGAAGTAAGGTAGGGGGATTTTTTTTAGAGCCGATAACTTATCTGAAAAAATTTTTTTTGAAAACCCGATTCGGCATTTTTTTAATGATGTCATTGTAGGGAACGGCTCAGTTTATGAGAAAACTAATCCATAATTATTTTCAAAAAAAATTTTTTTTTTCTCAACAGAGTTGTGCCAAAGTTCTTTCAACATGTATTCCTCTACTCAATTCTGACCATGCCACAACTTTGGTAGAAAATGAATTAATTAATGGAAGGTTACCAACAAATTATTCTGATTTTCTTAGACAATTTGGACTTATTTTGGTTATTTTTAAGAGGAAATTTTTTTAATTAATTATTTTTTAAAGTCAATTTCATTTCCTGATCGACTTAATAATTATGCTTTGGATTGCAATAATTTCTTTAGAAGTGCATCTTTTCATATACGTTCAAATGCTGCTTTACTTATGGGTAAAAATTTTTTTGATTTAAAGAATTTGTTTAGTTTTTGTATATACCCCATTTATTCGCAATTGGAACAGCCGATGTTGTGCATGCAGAACTTAGGACCGAGCAAAGCTCGTTCGAACTTCAATAGGGTAACTTGTGCCATTTTTTAGCTTGCAATTAAATGGGGGTGGCAATCGAATTCAGTCCGTAGTCAAATAAGTAGTCTTGCGAATAAATGGGGTGTGACGTGAACGACAGTTTCCTAATTAAATCTATTTTAACAAAATTTAATTAAAAAGGATTTATGTTAACTGCATTAACACCAGAATTGAGAGCTACATTGTCTACTGATCTTATTTTTAGTGGTAATTTGATTAAAAATTGAATTTTTTTTTTAATCTGAATTTTTAAAGGTTTAATGCAGCTAATGAAAGACCCTGAAGAACAAGTTCGTCTAAATACTTTATTTGCAATTTCGTTGCTATATGAGTTTGCCTAGTCAAAAAATAAAATAAAAACACTGGTGACCTTTTTGCATATCTTTCTCTTTATTTTTTTAAATAGACTATCACTTAAATGTATTTTATGGGTACAGCCCAAGTAGGCGCGCGGCCATAACGGCGCAAGGCCATAACTTGCTTAAAAATTTCCGAATCTTAACAAATTTAGTATTAAACGATTCTTCTCATCGAGCTAAAGAAATTGGTAACAAAATTAATAAGGACCAGAAATTTTCCGGCTAGTTATGACTTTGCGCCGTTTTGGCCGCGCGCCGTATTGGGCGTGTCCCGTATTTTATTGTTGTTTTTTAAATTTAAATTGTGTCTATAATTTGCTTTTAAATGCTTCTTAATTTCAATTGTTTCCATTCTGCAATTAATAAAATAAAAATTCGGTACGTTTTTGTCGGCACAATTTGCAAAAATTGTTTTTCAAAAAAACCGAGTAATCGATATTGATTTTTAAACTTCCCAAAAAAATTTTAAAAAGCATTTAAGTATTTTTTTCAAATAAATAATGTGGAATGAAATAATCATTTAAAACAAGGTCTAAAGTAAATGCCTTAAAGCTGGGATATAACAATAATACTGTGGAAGCGTTCAGTGATTTTTAAAAATTTAGTCGCAAAAATATTGAACCAAGGACCGGAACAATCTAACAAACTTAACCCTCCAAAAATCAAATTAGAACCCACTCCCTTTTAAGAACTGGGAAAGTGTTGTTTTGACTCGCTATTAACCTATTTCTGGAAGTCAAAAAACTTAAACTTAAAACACAAAATTACTGAACGTTAGTATCTTTTAAAGTCGCATATTTAAAGGCTATAACAAATAAAAATAAATTTTTTATATTTTTTAAATAAAAATAAACTTGTATATAGGCACATTTGTCTTTAAAATTCTTCATTACCTCTCTCTCTTCCCTCCACAAAATTTTTGTCTCAATTTATTCAAGTCAAAGTCTTCTGTTGCTCTTTATCTTCATTTTCAATTTCAGTCATTACTTCACTTGTCATTGTTGAAGAATCTTCAATTTCTTCTTCCTCCTCAACCGTTACCTTCCCTTTCCCCCCTTCCACTTTCTTCTCCTCAATACAATTATTCGAATCCAAACCTTCATCAATTAAAGCCCCATCTTCTCCATAACATTCATCTTCTTCCATTATACGTTTTAAACGGTTCTCGTTATCTTCACCTTCAGAACAGTCATGATAACTTGAATCATCATCTGTGTCAAATTCAACACATCCATCAACCTAAAAAAGGAAATTTTTTGAAGAATTTTTTTTATAATTTAAAAATTATTGAGGAAACTCTTCGAACGGTCAGTCTGAGTAACTTTAAGTTAAGAGGTTAAAGATTCGAACTAGAGTGTAGTGCGTGACTGTGCTTTTTAAAAAACAATGACTAATCGTTACATACAGAATTGTGGGCAGGATTTTTTCGGGGAGAAAGGAGGGGGGGGGGAAGATTTTTAGCTGCAATTCATTCTTAGCATGCAAAAAGTTTCCTTTTCTCCATTTCGGGGGAGGGGAGTAATAAATTTAAATAATTAAAAGAATTTTAAACCTCAACAGAAATAGTTTGAAGTTCATCTTCTTCACCCAAATTATTTTCATTTTTGTCATTAACAATTGCTGGTTGAAGAGTAATTCTACTTTGAATATCCAAAACTTTCTTTTTTGTTTCCTCCAAAGAATTTTCTTTATTCAAAATATTTGTTCCTCCTTCTCCATCATTTTCACCATTATCATCACTTTCATGACAAGATTCCATATCATCTTCCTCCTCAGAACTTTCAGAACGCAAAATTTTATGAGAAATTGAAGGTTCACTGTCAGAAGATAAAAGTTTACCTTTAAAAAATTAAAAAAAATTTTGGGTACAGCCAAGTAGGCGCGCGGCCATGTAGGCGCAAAGCCATAACTTGCTTCAGGTTTTCCGAATCTTACCAAATTTAGTATTAAACGATTCCTCTCATCGAGCTAAAGAGGTTGGTACCAAAATTGATAATGGCAAGAAATTTTCCAGCTAGTTATGGCTTTGCGCCTACATGGCCGCGCGCCTACTTGGGCGTGTCCCAAAAATTTTTTAATTAAAAAAAATTTTTTTAAATAGATTATCCCGCCTAAAATACCACTAAAAATAGTATATTTATGTAGCAAGAAAGAGATCCATCAACCTAGCTTGGTTGGCTTATAAAAATTTTAATCAAAAAATTTCACCAAAAGGATTCGAACCTTAACCTCTTTCAAGAAAAAAATAATCGTTAGACTGTTTTAAAACTAATTTTGATTCTAAAAATCTAAAATAAATTTTTAAATCTTCAAAAATAAAAATTTTATTCCCAAAAAAATTATTAAGTTGATATTAAAAATGTTTTTCAACAGAGGGATTCGAACCCAACCCATTTTTCACTGGTAAGCCTAACCCACTACCAACTACACCACCCGGCGTGTTAACGGTCTTTCTAATAAATTTTGATATTACTCCCTTAAAATAATTAACAAAAATAATAAATTTACTTCGAAGCATAACCGGCGCTCTAACTTGCGACGCAGGAACAGGGAGAGGCACAAAAATGTGATGTTGAGATTTCTCTTCACCTTTAATGCTTTTTATGTCAGAATTGTCTTCACAACCACTAGAAGGAATTTCATAAACATCCTTAATTGGTGGAGATGTGTCGTCTTTCTCTTCTTTTTTGCTGGAAGGTTTGCGGAAAGTGTAGGTAACTTTAAATAAAAAAATTTTTTTTGATAAAATTTAGCTCTCTAATCCGATTCGGACAGACAATATGTTATTTAAAAGAGCCCACCCTTAGCTGAATGACACCAAAATTAATATAAGGATTCAACTAAGGACCGAGATAAGCCCGCAACCAGAGGAGGGGGTGGGTTTTCTACACTACATTGAAAAATCAAAAACCAAAGGGATTCTTCAGGGTTAAAATTTGGAAGATGCTTATCAATCCAAATCGGAAGTATGAGAGATATTTTTCCTTTTTCTAACTAACAAAAAAATTAAAATAAAATAGAAACCTCTTTCCCGCTTTTTAGTCTCCAAAATAGCCCTTTTGGGGCAATCAGCTCTAAGATGTCCTTGTTTATTGCAGTAAAAACAGGTTGTTACTTTAAAAAATATTTTTAAAAATCCTCAAAAATTTAAAAAACCTTTTCGTTTAGGACAATCCACTCGAATATGCCCCTCTTCGAAACAATGAAAACATGTCCGAACACCACCAATGGAAGGAGGATTACTTCCCCCTCCTCCCCCACTTCCACCAACTTCAGACCGTTGACCCAAAACAGAACAATAACGACTTTTATGAGTCAAATCTCCACAAAAATCGCATCCTAATTAAAAAAAATTGGGTAATATAGTCTTATCTCCCCACATATCCGCAATTTTTCGTCCGCAAATTTTTTGTCCGCAAATTTTTGTCCGCAATTTTTTTCTCTTCCTCCTTACTTCTATTTGCCTCTTTTCATCTTCTTCCTTTTTTCACAGAGATTAAAAATTGTCATGATTTAATAAATAATCTTTATGAAAAAAAGGAAGGACAAATAAAGGGGCAAAGAGGAGGAGAAGAAATTTGCGGACAAACATTTGCGGACAAATGGGGAGATAGACCATAGTACTTAAAATTATTTTTAAATTAAAAAGAAACTTTTAGGATCCCTCTCTAAAGTCAAATCAACTCCACTACTGTCACTACTTTCATCATCTTCATCACTTTTCTGGTACATAACAACATTGTCATCAGCAATTTCCACCTTCTCAATTTCTCCAGCCAAAATAGCCCCATCATTATTGTCCTCTTTAACGTCAGAAACTTTGAGATCCTCTTCATTGTCTTTATTTATTTCTCCTTCTAATAACTAGAAAAAAATTTTAATTTTGCGGACAACATTTGCGGATTTTGGATATAAAAATTTAAAAAGGCTAGGAATTTTAGCTAATGATAAAAATTTTTCCGTTAAAAGAAAAGAGCCTTGAAAAGAAAAAAAGAGAAAAATTGAAAGAAAAAATACTTGATAAAAAAAAACTTGATAAAAAAAAGTAAAAAACAAAACCCCTTAATGTCTAAAAATTATTTATATTTAAAAATTATTTAAAAAGACTTGAAATATTTCTTAAAATTAAAAAAATCGAACTACACATGTATGTATAAACTAGAAAAATAAAATATTAAACGCCAAGAGTCATCGAACCCTCATCAAAAAGCAACGTAGACGCCGCCACTACCACCTACACCACCAACGCTTACAAGACAAAATGAAATAAATTAGACTATCTTAAAAATAGAATAAATAAAAATCATAAAAATTAAAAAAAAAGTCCGCAAATAATTGTCCGCAAATTAAAAAAAAAATAAAAAAAATACCCCAATTTGTTGCTGCAAATTCTTCTTAGGTCTATAACCCCCTTTGTGTCCACCACGCGATGAAGATAAAGAAGCATCACGAATTTTTATAGGAGAGTCATTTGTTGTTGTTGAACTGTCCGACATAAAATATATAAGTGAAATAATGCAAATAAATTAAATTTAAATATAATTTAATATCTCTCTGAAAAATAAGGATATATTTTAAACTAAAAACCTAGGGACACGCCCACTTAGTCGCGCTGCCACTTAGTCGCAGAGCCATAACTTGCTAAAAAATTTCTGGCCCTTATCAATTTTGGTACCAATCTCTTTAGCTCGATGAGAGGAATCGTTTAATACTAAATTTGGTAAGATTCGGAAAACTTGAAGGAAGTTATGGCTCTGCGACTAAGTGGCCGCGCGACTAAGTGGGCCGTACCTAAAAACATATTTGCAAGTTAAAAATCAAATAGCCAATTTAAATTAGGGTGCGACCTTTCAGGGCAATTGAACGGGGGTTGCGGGGAATTCTATGTGCGGGGACGGAGAACGGAGGCTCTGCGGGAAGACCTCCCCCCGTTTCCGGGGGTCAAATAAAATAAAATTTAAATAAAGGCAAAAATTGGAGAAAAAATTGCAAAAAAAAATCTAGTAAAAAAGAAAAAATGTGTGTGAATTTTAATTTTTTTTCAGTAAATGATTAGCAAAAAAGAGAGAATTTAATATTACCCCCAATTCAGTATTCCCTAGCAATCAATAAATAATGAAAAATATTTAAAAGTTTAAAAAAGCAAAAGATTGTTATCTAGAAAAAATTGGTTTGCATAGTTTTTATTCTTATTGTATAGTCAATAGGGCGCGAAATCCCTTTAGAATTTCTAAAAAAAATTAACACTTTAGTTATACTCAAAAATTTTCAAAAATCGAAAAAGAAAGAAAACAAAAAAATTTCAATCTTGTGACAAACTTAAATAAAAACAACTCCTTACCCTTTTTAAATTTAGATATTATGTATTTTTCTAAAGTTGACAATTTGAAATTCTCCTGGGCAAAATATTTCAAAATCCCAAATTGTAAAAAATAAATCAATATATCGAATATAAAAACAAAGATTTTTTCTTTCTACGTTTCCGCCAAGATTTTTTCTCCTAAAACTTTTCTAGTCGTTCTTTCAATCGATTTTATTGGTTTTTCTTCTTAATTAAGTTAATGTTTTCTAAATAAAATCTCTCGTTTTTTTGTTTATTTATTCAGAATTTTACCTTCAAAACAAAATTTTTCTTTGAGAAACAATGGCCCACAACGTAAAAGAAGAAAATATTTCCTTTTCGGATCACGACTATGTTCCGCCGTTGGATGAGCAATTGGATGAGATAAATTTGGACAATGTTTTTATTGACGTGGAGAATGTTGAGAGTAATGAGACTGTTACTTCGAGGTTTTTTAAATTTGTAAAAATTTTGTTTGGAATTGTGTGGTCATTTAAAAAAGTTTTTTTTTTGATTTTTTATGAGAGTCAAGGGGAAGCCAAGGAACTCAGAACTCAGTGGAGGTCGGTCTGAATCTGGATCCGTGCCTTAATTTTCCTTAAGCCGGAGTCAAGATCAAACAATTTCTCAGTGTTCCTTGATTTCTCCTTGACTCGAAGTCAAGAATCTAATTCAAATTCCTCAACCAAAATCGTGAATCCATGTCAAGGTTTTTCTAAATTTCCATTCCTACTCATCAACAATTTGTTCTATTTTCAGATTTTTTATTAGAAAATTATTTTCATTTTATTATCTTTTTCTTCGTGACCACAAATTCTCCAAACAACGCTTAATTAAAAAAAATATTTTTTAATTTCAACAGAAGGACAATTAAAAAACCGCAAATATTCACTATGGATAAACAGGAGAAACAGACAAAGAAACGAAAAGCGCCAAAAAGTGGAAATGTTGGAAGGAAGAATATTAAGAAGGAAGTCCCTCAATATGAGGTTAATTTGATTAATTTGAAGTATTTTTTATTCAAATTTATTTTAAAGGTCGACTACATTTTTGGTAAACGGTCGGACAAGCTTCATAAAGGGAAAATCGAGTACCGCGTCTTTTGGAAGGGTTACGCCATCTCAGATGCTTCGTGGGAACCGGAAGATAATTTGGTTTGCTTTTTGAGGGTTTATTCAATCTTTAAGCGGGATTCCGGGGGGGGGGGGGGGGATGAGAGGGGAAATTTTTGTCCATGTTAAAAACTGGAAAAATTGCCAGCGCCGGAAAACAAGTCCCAGGCCCCTCAGATTTCCATTTTCAAAATTTTTTTTTTATTTTTTAGCGTCATTGTAACGAGGCAATTGAGAAGTATGAGAGATCTCAGGGTCTTGTTCCAACTAAAGCTTCAAAACAAAAGGAGGCCAAATTGGAAAATATTGAAGATTCCAAGCCTTCGACCTCTTCAGCTTCTAAACAAGTCTCTTCGAATGGCAAAAATGGAAAGAAAAATGGAAGGAAGAAGGGGAAGAAGCGAGCTAGTTCTGTTGGTTTAGTTGTTAAAAAGCCGGAGACGAAGAAGCAAAAATTGGAAGAGTTTCCGGGCACACGAGCAAGATCTACATCCTTCACAAAGAGAAAGGTTTGTGGAAATTTTTAGCTTTTTAGTCCGCAAGTTTGTCCGTAACATTCTTTAGTCCGCAAATTATTTTTTTTTATTTTTTAAGGGAAGCAATTCCAGCAATGGAGGAAAAACGACTGCTTCCACAAATTCCTTCAGCAAGGACACAACCCCCTTGCGTTCGGATTCATTGGAAGGCCAGAATGGGGCGGGTGTTGTTACACGCAAACACGCGAAAGAAAACAATGAAAATGGAGGAGGTTTATTTAATTTTAATTTTTTTGAAAATTTTTTGCCTTTTTAAGTGTTGACAAAGAAGCATTCCAAATTAAATGTCGCAAATATTTCTCTGATAACGAGTGTCCACCCGAGCGGAATTGAGGGGATAATGGATCTCGTGGCTGATGTTGTTATGAAAGATGGGTCAATCAAATCAGTCCTTACGGAAACGTTGAAGAATGAGGCGCCTAAAGTATTTTTTGAAATATTTTTGAAAATTTAATAATTTTTTAAAAGATTCTCTTTGACTATTACGAAAGGGCGATGGAATTGAAAGATTAATAAAAGAAGTTTTAAAAAATTTGTTGGACAAGAAATCTCTTATTTGTTATTCTAGAAAGTTGTAGAGAAATTCGGTTATTTTTTAAATTTTAATATTATATTGCTTATTGAATTGCCTTTTACTTTTATTTTTTCTGGGGGAGAGGGGATTTCTAAATTTTATTTTGAATTAAAAATTATTTTTTTTGGGGGACAAAAAGAAGTGTTTAATTTAAATTTGGGTTGGCTTCCGACCCGTTAGGGAGAACTTTTCACGGAATTGACTGTTGGTGAATTAAGGATTTGGCCTGGGAAATGACCTCAAAAATTATCGCCAGCCCTAATTTTAAAATCCCTTCTCTCTCAAAAAAGCCTATATTTATTTTATAACATCTCACTTTCACTTCACTTATACATTTGTTAAAAAGGAGCCTCAAAAAATTGTTTATCTACACTATATAAATTTTATAAATTTTTTTTAAAATTGAACCAAATAATATTTATAAAAATATTTTTTAAGTATACTTTTTTAATTGTAGAAAAAGTATGGGGGAAAGTGTTCGCGCCAGCGCTTCTAATCAATTATTTAAGCTTTATATGCTTCCTTTTTATTGTCCATTTAAAATAAACTTGAAGCAACAGAAATAAAATCAGAATTTTGAATAATAAATTAAAATCAGAAAATCTTTTAAAAAACTTGAAATCAGAATTTGGGGAAAATAATAAATATGAAATCAGAATTATTAAAATGAAGTTAAAAATCAGAAAATAAACTTTAAACCAGAATTAGAAAAAATAAACTTTAAAAATCAGAATTTCTTGGAATAAATTAAAATCAGAATTTTTGTAAAAAGAAACTTGAAAACCAGAATTTAAATAAATAAACTTGAAATCAGAATTTTTAAAATCAGAATTTATTTAATGCAAATTCCATTTCCCCTGTCTTTTTTTTTGCTTTTTTCGAGGAAAGAACAAACTAAAGAGACAGGTAAAAGTTTTGTAAGAGAAAATCACTAAATAACAAACAACTCGTTTAAGAGGAACAGCAAAACAAAAAGCAGGTGGAGGATACACAAATTATTTTTTTGGGGGGAATGTACACAAAAGAGTAGTGAATGGAGAGGAGAAAAGAGAGAGAAGAGGTGCTCATCCACCAATTTTTTTTATTTTTCTTTTAAATAAATATAAATTTTTTTTGTATATTTTTCTTCAAAAATTCAATAATTTTTGGCCTATTTTTGTGAAAAAATAATTTTAAAAAAATTTTTAAAAATGAGTAGTGACAGTGAAAATGAAGAAATTGAAGATAATTTAAAATTAAAGGAAGAAAATAAAAATGAAGAAGATGAAGGTGTTATTAATTATTATATTAGTGAGGAATATGAAGAGGAAAGAAGGCGGGAAAGGATTGCTTTGTTGGTGGGGTTTTAATTAAGAATAAATTAAACTTGAAGCAGAATTTCTAAAAAAATCAGAATTTATAAAACTTGAAAATCAGAATTTTAATCAGAATTTACGAAAATAAACCTAAAATGAAACCAGAATTTAAATAATCAGAATTTCTAAAATTAAACTTAAAACCAGAATTTTTACAAATAAATTTGAAACCAGAATTATAAAAAATAAACTTGAAAATCAGAATTTTTAAAAATCAGAATTTAAGAAAATAAACTTGGAATCAGAATTTCTTAATGAAATAAGTAGATCAGAATTAAAAAATCAGAAATACAAAAAAAAATAAACTTGGAATATTTAGGAACGCCTCAGACGTGTTCGCGAACCCCATCTAAGACGGAAAATGGTTTTGAGTGAACCTTGCATACCTTGGGAATATGGAAGTAATAAATACGAGTCACAAAAGGGAATGGGTGCCTTTGGGCAGAACAGAGATACAAGTGAGAAAATAAACTTGCAAAAATCAGAATTTCCAAAAATAAATCAGAATTATAGAAAATTCTGATTTTAATTAAAATTCTGAAAAAATAAACGAAGCAAAGCTGAAAAATAAACTTAAAAATCAGAATTTCTTAAAACTTGAAGCAGAATTATAATAAACTTGAAAATCAGAATTATAGAAAATTCTGATTCCGATTAAAATTCTGAAAAAAAATCAGAATTTCTTAAAACTTGAAGCAGAATTAATAAACTTGAAAATCAGAATTTTGGAAAATAAACTTGAAACAAAAACTTTAAGCAATAAAAATACACTCAACAAAAGAGTTACACGGAAGCAACCCTTCAATCATTCCCAGACTAAGCAGAGCATCTTTGGTTACTCAATCTGGACAATCACCGTTTGGAGCAATTAGAGAACAAGTTACCCGAGTTGTTGAACATGTTTAAAGATTTTTTTGGAATTTTTTAATTAATTAAAAATTTAAAGGAAGGAGAAGCAAAAAAGCGTTGCCAGGAAATTCTGACAGATCCAAAACAAACTGAAAGAATTTTAACTTTGTGGTCTCAGCCAAATCCGGAAGCTAAATATAGAAATCCAAAATTTGGGGAGAAACGTCAAGTAATAGCTAAAAGTATTGGAGGAAGACAGTGGTCGAAAAAAGAATTAATTGAAAGCAAAGCGGTGGATTTTTAAAAAAAACTTGAAGAGAATTAAAAAATAAAATCAGAATTTAGGAAAATATAGTTATTATCAGAATTTTAAAAGAAACTTGAAATAGAACTTAAATAAAAAACTTGAAAATCAGAATTTCTAGAAAATTTAAGGTAAAACTTAAAAATAAAAAAAATCAGAAAATAAACTTGAAATTAGAATAAACTTGAAATCAAAATTAAAAAATAAACTTGAAATCAGAACTTAAAAATAAAATCAGAATTTAGGAAAATATAGTTATTATCAGAATTTTAAAAGAAACTTGAAATCAGAATTAAAAAAATAAGCTTGAAGCAGACATTGAAAGAAACTTTAAAATCAGAATTTTAGTGAAAAGTTTATTTATTTTAATTTTTAGGCGTTGCCTCGTTTTTGTCGGGTGGACGAAACTAGTGCAGCTAAAGATGGCACACGAGTATTTAGAAAATTTTAAAATAAAATTCCTTTAAAATTTTTTTAAAGGGAATGACATCCGGCTATATACCCCTTAGACAAGTTACTACACAAATTTGTGGAATGAATAGGACAGAGAAGGATCAGCTAGAATCTAATAAATGTTTGGGGTGGTTAGGTGGACAGGTAAATTAGTTAATTATTTTTAAGTTGAAGTGGATTGAAAAATAAACTTGAAGCAGAATTTTGAAAAACTTGAAACAATTTTGAAACTAAACTCGGAATCAAAATTTTGGAAAAATAAACTTAGAATCAGAACTATTAAAAATAAACTTGAAACAAAATTCTGAAAAATTAAACTTAGAATCAGAATAAACTTGAAATATAAAAAATTAAACCTAAAATCAGAATTACAAAAAAATAAACTTAGCATCAGAATAAACTTGAAATAAACTTGAAGTAGAATTTTTCTAAAAATAAACTTAGAATCAGAATTTCTCCAAAAAATAAACTTGAAAAATAAACTTTAAAACCAGAATTTCGTAAATAAACCGGAATCAGAATTTTTGTAAAAATAAACTTTAAAATCAGAATTTTTTGAAAAAAATAAACTTTAAAACCAGAATTTAAATATTTAGCTTCTGCTTCAAACTCAATCAAAGACTGGAGGTTTTCAGAAGCCTAGAGACGTTGTCAGTACAAACTACTACACAAAAGAAACAAATAAAAGGCGGAAAACAATAAACTTGGGGGAAGAACAGTTGAATGTAGCATTACAAAAAATTGAAATTAAAGAAGAAAGTGCTTGACAATTTTAATTTTAGGAAAAAATTTTACAAAATTCCCGGTAGCTTCACAAAATTTAAATAAAAAAATTCTTTTTTATTTAAATAAAATTTTATTAAAAAAATTGAAAAAAAATTTTGAATAACAATAAAAAAATTATACGATTATTGACCAGAAAATTTTAGTTTAAAAATTAATGGCACCGAAATGAGGGGGGGGTTTAAAGTTGGATATGCTAACAGCTTCAAGTTCAGGGCTGTGCGCCATATAAAAAAATAAACTTAAAATCAGAATTTTGAAAAACTTGAAACATAATTTCGAAACTAAACTTGAATCAGAATTTCGGAAAAATAAACCTAGAATCAGAATTATCAAAAATAAACTTGAAACAAAATTCTGAAAAATTAAATCTAAAACCAGAATTAAAGAAAAATAAACTTAGCACCAGAATAAACTTAAAATAAACTTAGAATCAGAATTTTTCCAAAAAATAAACTTGGAAATCAGAATTTCGTAAATAAACTTTAAAAACCAGAATTTAAACATTTTGCTTCTGCTATTGGCGTTTGGCGCACAACGCAAATTTTTTGGCGCACAGCCCCCAAGAAAATTATTCATAATTTAAGTTTCACCCAAAAGATCAACAGACTATTTGTGTCTTAAGAAGGCCCATTAGAGTATTTGTCTGAAATTTCCTTTGAAACCCTACTTTCCATTAAAGGGCCATTAGAGTCTAGAATGTTGTTGTTCCGTCTCCTTTCTTCTGATACTCTAAAATATGGTTGTAGGGCTATTTGAGTATTGGAAGACAAGTTTGGAATCCATCTAAGTCCTCCTATTGAAGAAAGCATTGGAAATGGGGAAGATCTAAAGGGAGAAGGCAAATACGGTGTTGTTGGGAATAAACGTTTTTGTGGTGTTTTTGAACATGTTGAGGAAGAGGAGGAGGGACTTTGTTTGTTTATTTCTGATGGTTCAAATAGACAGCTGGAGGCTATTCTTAAATTTAAGGAAGAAATTTTTTTTTTAATTCTATTTTATTAGAGGTTTACTTGACCAGAGTTGTAGGTCTGTGAAAGGTCACGGATACTGATTTTGGTATCCGTATCCGGACCGACGGATATCCGCAGGCATTTTGGTATTCTCTGTATCAATATCCGATCCATGACCAGGTCTGCATTAGAGTACGGGGATTTCTTTCTAACTGGACAGGGAAGAAAATACCGTACATAGTCCTATTAGAAACCCACCCCCTATTAGAAGCTCACAAAATGAAACCCCTGGAGAAATATAAGCTCTAGGCGTTTATTAGAATATCTACTGTATGTGGTCAGTTTTAGGGCGGAGTACTTGGTTTTTTTAAACAGAAAATTCTAAACTAGCCTTTCATCTGTCAAATCTTCATTCTTTTGATCTCTAAAACCCTTAGCAAAAGGATTTAATTCAATTTTCTTTTGAGTGACCTA